CTATGATTCTATGGAAGCTGTGGCTCCGAATCTGCAAGACCAAAGCTCGGCTGTTAATAGGATGTCTCAAGGGTGCTCATTCATAGGATCACCATAAATTGAAGACAACAACTCTTATCCTTCACTAACATAGTTTTATAGCACTGAAGCTGTGTGTGTGTTTTTAAATACCTATTCTTGTGTGGCATAATGGTTTGAGTGTTGGACTGTGATTCTGGAGATCAGGGTTCAATTACTGCATGGCTATGAAACTCGTTGGGTGACCTCTCAGCTCTCAGCTTCAGGAAAGGCAAGGGCAATCCTCATCTAAGACAAATATTGCCAAGAAAACCCCATGATTTGTTGTTGTTGTTAACTGCCTCTACATCGGTTCCAACCCATGGCAGTGACCCTCTGGATGAGACATCTCCAGGTCCCTGTCCTCTCCTGCTTTGCCAGCTCCTGCAAACTCATATTCATGGTCAATTTAATAAAGTTCATCCATCTAGCATGTGGCCTTCCTCTCTTTCTACTTCCCTCCACCTTTCCTAACATTATTTCTTTTCTAATGATTCATGCCTTCTCATGATGTGTCTGAAGGATGACAATCTAAGTCTTCTCATCTTGGCTTCTAGGGATATCTCTGACTTGATCTGTTCTAGGACCCATTTGTTTGTCCTTTTGGCTGTCCATGGGATCTTCAACACTCTTCTCCAGCACCACATCATCTCCAATGCATTGATTTTCCTCCTGTCTTCTTTCTTGACTGTCCAGCTCTTACATCCATACATGGTAATAGGGAATATGATGGCTTGTATAACCCTAATAGGGTTGCCATAAGTCAGAAATGACTTGAAGGCACACAACAAGAACAACAACTTCCTTGAAGAACAAAAAAAATCTATGTTGTCCATAAAATATTATCATAGAGTTTTGAAATTGTTTGATCCAATAAAAATATATTGGCCAAGGTCCCCATCAACAACGGTGGAGCAAAAACTTCTACCAGTCTACTTTTTCATTGGTATTGTTGTGTGCAGGTTGTTTCTGACTTAGGGTGATCCTAAGGTGAAACCTTCATGGCATTTTCTTGACAAGATTTATTCAGAGAAGGTTTACCATTGCCTTCTACTGAGGCTGAGAGAGTGTGACTTGCCTAAGGTCATGCAGTAGGTTTCATGGCCAAACAGGGAACCAAACCCTGGTCTCCAGAGTCTCAGTCCTGCACTCAAACCACTACGCCAGGGGTAGGCAACCTTTCCCCTTTAAGGGCCGAGGGACTTCAGCTCCCAGAATCCCAGGAGCTATTGGCCAACATGGGACTATTGGCCAACATGGCTGAGGCTTCTGGGAGCTGAAGTCCCTCGGCCATTAAAGGGGAAAGGTTGCCTACCCCTGCACTACGCCATCCTGGCTCTCATAGCAGCAGTGTTGTGTGTGATGTTCTGATGTCTGTCTCAAGTCTTCCATCCATCAGAGGGGCAGAGAAAGTATATAGAATCATAGAATCGTAGACTTGGAAGAGACCCTAAGGGCCATCCAGTCCAACCCCCTGCCATGCAGGAACACACAATCAAAGCACTCCCAACAGACAGTCATCCAGCCTCTGTTTAAAAACCTCCAAAGAAGGAGACTCAACCACCCTCCAAGGTGTTTCTTAAATACCGACTGGCTATTAAACTGGCTCATTGCAGAAGACAAATGGGGAACAGATTGCATAAGGTGGTACTAAGGCTACCTCCTTTCGCAACAGTGCCTCAACAGATTCTAACCATTTGCTGAGTAGGCTTATTTTCTTTTCACAGATATGCCTATGAAGTACATTAAAAAAAAAAAAGAACCAAGAATTTAGTTCATGCCAACATCCCTGATTTGAGAGGTCAGCACTAGGAATGGAAAAGAATTTCAATAGAGTTGGCACTGTTGATGAAAGCAGCCTTTTCAATAACTCTCTCAGTGTATTGAGAGAAGAAACACAACTAACCTCAAGAGTTCACACATTTGCAAAATTTATGGGGTGCTTCAGAGAGGTAATGAGCTCATAAAAACAATGCACACATTTTAAAATGTGAACAGCTAAAATAAGTGCTCAGCCAGGAAAAACCAATACAAGTAACATACTTCATTCAATGGACAAAAATGGACAAATTAGCTAAAAGCAGCAGATAATGATACAATGATATATATCTAATGTATTGTTCAGAATTCTGCTGGTTAGTCCCAGCTAGAGCAGACCCATTGAATCAATTATTGAATTGTGAATCAACAAATAAGTAAATCCTATTGATTCAATGGATCTGCTCTAGTTGAGACTATCTGTAGAATTTAGACCATTACATTATACATTATATGCTATTATATTATATACCCCATAATAGATTCGCCTTAATGTCACCATAAGACGAAACAATATTAAGGCACAGAATAACACAAATTATATACCTTCAGATTATATTACAGATTGAGTCTCCCTTATCTGGAATTCCAAAATCAGAAATACTCTAAAGTCCAAATTTGTCCACATGGGTGGCTGAGATTTGCTTGCTGTTGGTTCAATGTATGCAAACTTTGTCTCACAGACAAAATTATTAAAAAGTATTGTGTATAAAATTACCTTCAGACTATGCATATATAAAACATAAATGACTGTAATGTTCAGTCTTGGGCCTCATCTCCAAGATATCTCATTATGTATATGCAAATATTCCAAAATCTGAAAAAATCACAATCCAAAACACTTTTGGTCCCAGGCATTTTGGATAAGGGAGACTCAACCTGTATAATATTAAATATGCAAGATATATTATAGCATATTATTAGATGTATCGTAATATTAGGTATATATTTTATTTATAAAAATATCTAACAGATAACTTATTCAGGCAGCCTTTGATTTATAATCCATGTGACAGAAAGGGATTTTCATGGGGTTATTGTTTTATCTGTTTTTTTACTGGTTTAATGGTGTTTTACATATTCTTTTAACTTTGTGTTTTTAAGTAAACTGTTGTTTTAATTGTTGTTTTTAAACTTGTGTGTGTGTGTGTGTAGTGGCTTAAGCACTGGACTACAACTCTGGAGAATAGGGTTCAAATCCCTGTTTGGCCATGGAAACTCACTAAGTGACATTCTGGACACACACACATACACACACACACGTGAAAATGAAAAACTGCAAATATTCAAGCCCCATTGGCTTGAATGGGCATGCACACCATGGGCACACATGCCATTTTATCCCTCCACGCTTGCCAGTCCGCAAAGGACCAAGACCGCAGAGTCAAAGTCCGTGAACAGGGAGGGACAACTGCGTATGTACAATATTTTTCATTGCTTGTAAACTGCCTTGGATCCTGTCCAAGGAGAAAGGTGGAATATTCATGAATGAGTCAGTTAGGTAAGTAATAATGAATTAATTAAAATACAGAGACTAGAGAGTGTGCATTACAACGGTGCAAAAATTTTTGTAGTCTCTGTGCCATTTTAACGCACGCTACTTAATCTGTGCATTTAAATTAATTGATTATTAACTAACTAACCTACTCAATCAATAGTCCTTCTTTCTCCATGGACAAGATCCAAAGTATCTTCTGAGCAATGGGAGTGCTTTGGATTGTTTTGGATTGCAGTGTGTTGCGTTGTTGTTGTTGTTTTTTTATATATTTTATTAACATATACTGTTCAAACATATCTATAAAG